AAACCGTCCGTTTGTATTAAGTTAACCTAGACCGGCAAATATGATTTTTGTTAAGTTTACCCGCACCAATTACTCCATAATTTCCACAATTACTTATCATTAGCAAGTTCGTGATCTGAGCAAATTCAAACAAGTTTTTTTTCTCACTTTTCAGCACTTTAAAAATAGATATGGTGACCTAAACCGGCACGTTGGATATGTATTAACTGTAATAATTGCTTATTTTATCCCTGTGCCATCCTTTTATCAAAAGTTATGCCTATCACTTAAAAAAATGGACCTTGTTTGGGTAACAGTTTCCGGCAAGTTAGATATGTATAAAAATTTGCATAATTACTTTATATAAAGTTAATGATCACTTTCATTTTTGGTTGCTGGATTTAGAGGGGCACTTAGGTCAAGGTCAATATCACTGATGTTAGAAATGAATTCATATATAAATTTTTGCTCATACAACCTTTAACTTTTGAATTGATGTTTTCATTTTTGATACTGGCATGCATATATTCCTTCTGGATCAGTTACATTCTATACATTTGCCGGAACTTTATTTACAGACCGATGTTTCTCATTTGCATGTAAAGTGAAGTTTGCTTGGTCTTCTTCCTTTGGATTAATTTCAGTTAGATTAAGATCACCAGTCATAAATAGTTTTTACACGTTTGCCTATACAATCATATTCATTGACAGATATCTGTCATATTTGATAGAAAGATTTGTTACTGTGTTTTATTGTTGTTTTCTGACATGTACGACTTAATCTTAACATTTCGCGCTTATAACCTTAAGGTAAAATTAAATTAAACGATTCAAAGAGAAAGAAACGACAACTGAAAGTTACTGGTGGCTTTGAGACAATAAAGGGAATGCATCCGTGGCAAGTGGAAATTCAACGAAAGAAACGAGGTTGGATTCATTGGTGTGGTGGTACAATTATCAATAACGAGTGGATATTGAGTGCTGCACATTGTTTTGAGTAATCCTTGTATTTTTATGTTTTCTTTTCTTTTCGATTTATTAATAGATGTATTTTTTCTTCTTTGAGTGAACTCCATCAGCTGCAACTAAATAGCTTAACAAGTTTCAGATAATACGAGGGGTGTTCGAAAATGAATGCAACTAGGTCAATATCCAATATCTCGCTTTTAAACACGTTTTGCACAAACTATGTACATTTATCGCACTAATGATTGTGTAAGCTCTAAATTGACACAATACATGTGTAAATCAGGTCAGTCTACTTATAACAATTGCTCAATGAATGCTTTCAACTCGTGTATACTAAAGCTAAAATGGTTATAAAAGTGTCTCCTTTGACTGACCAAAATGCGGTCCTATATCAATAACCGCTGTGTTCTCTTCGTATACAGGCGAAAGTCATATTAAATGAAATGTGTCGTATCTATGGGAAAAAGGAACATTCTCTTGCATCTGTCACATGGTGGTGTAAGAAATTTAAAAGTGGTGTGGAATCAGTTAAAATGCACCTCATGCACGCCTTCCGAAAATTGCAACTTCGCCAAAAATGGTTGATAATGTACAGGAATTAATTGCTACAGATATAAGATTTTCAACAAAATATAAAGCTAAATTCCTTAGTGTCTCTGAAGGAGCCGCTCAAACAATTCTCAGACATTATTTAAAATTGAGAAGGATAAGAGCCTGATTGATACACTATCTCCTTACAAAAAAACAAAAACTTGCTCCGGTAAAAATCTCCTAACAGTTGTTGAAACTGTTTCCTAAATACAATCGTTTTTTTTCCCGCAAATATCATCACTGGCGAAGAGACGTGGCTTCGCTTTTATTAGCCCAAGCGAAATGTATATAACAATATATAAGAAAAGTCAAAGACCTTAAATAGCAAAACGCACCATGAACATCAAAAAGGTCATGTTTGTAATAGTCTTTGCTAATGAAGGTCCTGCTAATCAAATTGCCGTACAAAAGAATAAATCTGTAAATGCCAAGTTTTTTTAAAGGCCGGGTCCTTCATAAATTAAAGGAATATTTCAAAAACCCTCGACCAGCAACTGGTCTCCATGGTGTCAGTTTGTTGCATGACAATGCTTCGTCACACAAAGCGATCATTGTACAAAAATATCTTTAACAGGAAAAAGGTTGTCGAGCTTTCTCGCCCTCCTTATTCCCCAGGTCTTGCACCTTGTGATTTTTTTCTTATTTCCGAGGCTCAAAAGCACGTTTCTGGAAGAAGATATCAAACGCAAATAAAATCTCGGTTGGCTATTTCCAGTGTCCGAACAGTATACATAGCAAAGGTTATTAATACGCATTTAAAAAAATGAATTAAAAGACTTAAACTTTGTATATCACATGGTAATGATTATTTTGAAGGATTTAGATAATTACTTTGACACTGTTTTGATACATGCATTTAAATATAGTTTATATCGATCTTTCAATATTAATAATGCATTTAAGTGCTTTTTCACTGTTATATACAATTATTTATTAGAAGAAAAAGTAAGTTGTAATTGACGTAACTATCTCATTGTCCAAAATAGGTACCATTTTATCATCTAGTTCCGGTGAAATAAAATGTATTATCGACAATTTAAACCATATTGTTTCTACAACAAAAGTCGTTTTTATGACATATTATTAGTACAGTCCAGTATACTGTGTAAGACTGTAATATTTCTTAATTTACATTATGATCATTGAAATCGATTAAAGTTTAAAAACATTGCGTAAACTGTAATATATTCTTATCTAAGACATAAAAACTGTTTAAATAAGAAATCAACCTAACATGATCATCTATCGCCTATTAAGCAGTTTCAATGTTCTAATTTTGTCAAATGCTTATACAGTGATACAAAGTCAAACTCAATTAAGTCTTTAACATCTCTCTACCATGATTTGTGAGTTCATTAATTTGTTAACACTTAGTTAAATACCCCATGTTCATTATTTGAAAAGTATTAAGCAGAGTCACATGTCTTGTTTTAATAACATTAAAGTTCTACATTATGTCACAAAGAGTACGCCAGGTTAAAGCTATTAATGTTGACCGTAGTATTTTGCTATTTACAAATTCAGACAAATTCTTTTTTGAAGTTATTAAAAAAAAATTTTTTAATTTAAAAGGGTAATTTTTGGCATAGCTTTTCCCCTAAGGGGAAACATTTTTGGACAGCCTTTTCATACCGTTTACTTTTTTTTGGTTGAAAATGAAATTAAATTTTTAAAAATTTGCAAACACCCCCTCTCGGGTTTTTTCTTTTTTGGGATTTTAAATATGGCACAACAAAAAATTTAATTTACATCAAGCCTATCATTAAATCTTTCCCATTGTCTTTTATCATTACGGGCAAAGAAAAAAATTTGTTATTTACTTTAAAAGGGTTCACCATGAAAAGGGAAAATGAATTTTTGAAATTTAAATTTTAAAATTTTTTTTCTTTTTTATACAGCGACTTAATGGGAAAACTACGAGGGTTTAAATGAAAAATTTAAAATTTAAAGGACGACGATTTTTTTTGGAGCCCCATATTACAAATAATAGAATATGAAGAAATGTTTCATATTGAATATATTGTCAAACACTGGAATTACAGTGGTAAGATGTTTTGTTTTCCATAGAAGCTTAGTAAGTAATATGCACATATTTTACCACAAAAAAAAACAATTTCTGTTATACGCAGATTAATAAAGCAAGTGGGTTTTATCGTCTAAATGTCACTCAAACAGACGTTTAGTTATTTCGAGGGGATCATTTAATGATTACTAGATCATATCCAATATACAGTACAATACCTTGATTTCAGCTAGATGTCTCTTATTGCAATTCAAATTATTTTCTAACAAAGACAAAATAGGAAAAAATATACTAGCGCCGGCAAATTCCCTACATGTGATTACAGAGACTCAGTTTTGAATACATTAATGAAATACTAGGATTCACCATTCTACTTTTTCAGCTATCTGCTCCTTGAAAGTGAGTTTGTTTCATTATTTTAGGTCACGTTAAAGAGTAGGTAACTCAAAAGCAAGTAAACTTTTGTTATTTGACATTATTTTTTGTTTATTTATTTTTATTCGATATTCAGACTGTCAAATCATTCTATTTTTATAATGTTTTCTTCTAAATAAGGCATAACTCGAAAAAAAAAATTAAATAAATTTACCAAAACCAGATATAGAATGATATGTAAAACATAAATTTGCAATGTCAGAAAATAAACTGAACAACGTTAATTGAAAATCAAATGTGATTTTTCTTGGTAAGCCTTGAATACCCTTAAAGATGTCCACATTAAGCAAAACAATACCCTCACTTTCAGGAAATAAAAAAGTAGGATGGTGACAAGCACGCGTGTCGTTATAACATGATTCTGTCGAATCATGTAAAGTTTGAGAAAGTTCTCTGTAATTTTCTAATATATTTCTCATTTTTAATTCTGAACACAATGTTAACATCCTATATTTCCTATATTTTATACTGATATATTCTGTGCTGTAATGTCAAATGTTTAATTGCAGAATTCGAAAGAAAATACTCTAACAATGATATCGCGTTACTGAAAATAAAATCAACCAGCGGAATTTCCTTCAATGATTATATACAGCCAGCTTGTTTGCCTGGAGAATTCACTCAGCTTTCATCTGAAACTAAATGTGAAGTTTCGGGATGGGGAAAGGAGAACGAAAAAGGTAACAATTAAACATTTAAATTCACTAAAATATTAAAAAAACTAAATAATGTTCAATCTGTAGTGAAGACTCTGTTTTAAATTTGTTGAAAACTAGAGCAAGCACATTTGACCATAAATTGAACATATATTTTTCACAGGTACAATAACTGATACATTAAGAGCAGCGGAGGTAATGATCATCCCAGAGCAAGATTGTCAGGGATTCTACAACACATATTCTATTGATTTTAAAAAAGTAATATGTGCTGGTAATGGCATTGCTGATACATGTCAGGGAGACTCGGGTGGTCCTCTCATTTGTGAAATCAACGGCCAAAGTACGGTAATAGGAATAACATCTTGGGGTAAAGGTTGTAGTCAACATGAAGCTCCTGGTGTCTACACAAAGGTATCAGAATATGTTAGATGGGTCAATTATCAAATTTCTAACCACCGTTTAGAAGAAGGTTTGTTCAATTTTATTTCTGTTTTCTGTCATTGCAACATCTGCGATGCGGTGGCACATAGCTATTATACTGTATGCGTGTATGTACTTGCGTACGTGCGTGTGTATAAGTGCGTGCGCGTGTATGCGCAAGCGTGGGGGCGAGCGTGTGTGTTATACATCTTACAATTTATAATATACTTAAAAACTTTTCTTCTTAAAACTGCTAGATAAATTTCAACAAATCTCACCAGAATAGTTTCTTTTAGAATTTTACTATATGCACGATTTCAGGCCTGGAACTGAAATTGGATATGAAATGAATTAGATATTGACCTTGTAACTTACTTTCTTGTTATTTGACATACAGCTATAAAATATGTACCATAACCATGGTTACAAATAGAAAATTGAAAATTGATATAAAATGATATATATCAAGTCCAAGTTACCTACAGTTTTATAGGTACAGATATATCTGGACTATATGTACAGTTTGAGATATGGAGTAGATGGCTATAAATGTTGAACTATATTTTGGCCTAGTCAGGCTAGTGACCCATTTCCAAATTCAGTAAATTTAGGTTTACCCTACGTCCGTCTGTCCGTCAGTCCGCTAGTCCGTCCTTAAAACTGGAATCCTCGATAACGCAAAAAGTACTGAAAATATTTTTATCAAAATTGATATATAGATCGATGGCAGTATGGAGATTGTGCACGTTTTTTTTTCTTTTCTTCCTATGTTGAAAATTCTGGTTATCAACCACATCATATGTGACGAGGTTTTAGCTCTAGCAGAAAAGTATCAGATTTGCACCCTTGAACTTACATGAAAAAATGTTGTTGTTTTTTAATAACTTCTTTATTTCTTAATGTATCTTCCTGAAACTTCACATATATGTTTCTTAATATCACTCAAATCATTTATGAGAAGGTTCAATGCTCTTGCAAGACTAATTCCAGAATTATGTCCCCCTTGAACTTAGATTTGTTTCGAGAAATCAATATATTTTACTCCAACTTCTTCATTACTTATAGGATTTACTTCATTTCCCACATCATAATAATATGACAAGGTTTATAAATCTAGCATCCTTGTTTCCAAAATTATCTCCTCCTTAAATTTTTAATTTTTCTTATTCATTCTTTTAACCTTCTTTTCCTTCAAATTCAAAATAAACGTTCATTATGAACAGTTTTATTTCTATTATGTTGTCCATCCCCTTCCCCGACGTTCTGGTCCCTTCATCTCAACTTTATCCTTTTTGTTAGCCTTTTAATTAATTGTTGTGTTGTTTTTTTCTTTAAATATTCTTTTAGGCTTCTTTTTTTCAATTATTTATTATAACATGCCATCCGTGCTTTGCCAATATTACTTCTCCGTGTTTTGATTGGTGTCCTACATGGCTCCTTACCAGTAGTCCTGCATGGCTGGATTGTGTTTTAAGATATATTCACTAAGCGCCACCCACTTTGTTGGTGTTTTTCTCTCTTATTTTAAGTAATCATATAGTTGTTCTGCATAGTAACTAAAATTCACAAATAATTTAGAAGAACCAGTATGTTAGCTTGCCGCTTCAGTCTTGCTTTTTTTGTAGTCAAGTACACTTAATGTTGCAGATTGAATACGGTTTAAGCCGATGCTAGGGAGGTGATTAGGGAGGTGATGGATTGTTGCAATTTTTCAACATCCCTTATAATCAGACTCATTCAACCGATTCTGCAATTTACTTTTGTTGTTTGTTTTCGGTGCTTTTGGAAAATCTGTCCTTTCCAGATTTTCTGCTACACAACAGAAGGTGCCAATCACCGCGTAGCAGCTGTAAAACTGTGTCCCTTACAACGATTCAGGATTGTCACTTATGAACAGACTAAATGCAAATTTCAAGTTATTTTGTTTTGGTGCTTTTAAAGAAACCCAAGTTTTTTTTAACCAGCAGTAGGACCTTTGAGACTAAGGATTACCAAATATGTCCATAAGAAGCACTTACATTATTTTTGGCACAAGTGGGTATCGCAGTATAGTAACCAATATTGCTAGTGAAGATATATGACAACGTTCAAATATTAATACAATTTTAACTTTTATCACCATTACATCTTATGGTGTTTTTTTTAAATAAGATGAAAACAAATGTAAGGTCGATATATTTAATTTATTTTATATCTTTAAATAAAAATCCATAGACTAACTTAACATTACATTTTGTACACAAAAAATATTACGTTTAATACATAACATAATACATTTAACTGACAATCAATTGTGGAAATAATTTCTTTTATAAAAATCATAATTGTTGGTGAATTAGCACAAAAACCATATATTTTAATGAAAATCAGAAAAAAAGATAAAACGAATTGCATTGTAATGCAACTCCGTCTATTATTTATACGCTCAAATACAAAAGTAAGAACTAAGCAAATATTCGTTTTGCTTTAATTTTAAGGTAAAAATGATTCTTAAATAGAGAAAATCAGAATCCCTAAAGACAGTTCAACACAACAAAATTGAAAATGTTACAGGCTCGGTTTGATTGAGCCTGTTCATGGAAAGTGCAAGTTACCGTCCACGCCCTCTAGCACCGGCTTAAGCAGAATTCAACATTTAACACGAAAATGGTACAATTTTGAATTTAGAAATATCCGCAATTGTGTTCATACGGCGGTTATCAGGGAACCTTCAATGTGACACAGTAGTGCCATTCCATGAAAAGCGGCGTATGATCCCCATGTAAAAGAATGTTTTTGCCCTAAACGAGAAAATAATGAGCGGAACTAAATAAATTGAAATTTGGAAAGGGGATCTGAGGATATGAAGCCTGCATATCACAGATAAGATGTCAAAAGACAAATTAAAAAAGCAGGCAACATATCCTAAGGGTGATTCAACAGTATTCAAGTAGGAATACTGGAACCACCCAATTTGAAATGGCCGAAAAGAAAAAAAACTCAAAGTACTGCATAACAGATAAACACAACAATAATGTTGTGCTGAAAGATCTTCAAGGATCGAAAAAAATAGCATAATCAATTAAATGTACGGGGAGACTTTTTACAGCCGCAATACGGCACAAATAACACGGATGTTACAATAAAATAGAGAGAAATAAGAATCCCTAAAGAAAGTTCAACACAACAAATTGAAAATTTTGCAGGCTCGGTTTGATTGAGCCTGTTCATGGACGGTACTGAAAAGTGCAAGATACCGTCCGCGCCCCCTAGCACCGGCTTAAGCAGAATTCATCATTAACACGAAAATGACACTTTCCTTTTTATGCTCCCCGAAAAATTTCGGGGGAGCATATAGTCGGCAGCTTGTCCGTCTGTCCGTCTGTCCGTCCGTTGTCTTGTCCGGAGCATAACTTGAAAACCCATAGAGATAATTTGTTGAAACTTCATACACTGGTAGAGGGCATTGAGGGGGAGCGCAGTGTCAAAGAACCATAACTCTATTTTGCCCGGTTTTTTAATTATCTCCCCTTATATAAAAATATTGTCCGGGGCATAACTCTAAAACTATAAGAGATATCAACATGAAACTTTGTAGGTGAATAGATCTCAATGGGTAGATGTGTAGTGCATAAGAACATTAACTCTTTTTGTCCTAATTTTGGAGTTATTGCCCTTTGTTAATTTTAACACTTTGAACTTTGTCCGGAACATAACTCTAAAACTATAAGAGATATCAAGATGAAACATTGTAGGTAGATAGATCTCATTCAGTAAAGGTGCAGTGCAAAAGAACCATAACTCTGTTAAGCCTCATTTTTGAATTATCTCCCCTTATAGAAAAATCTTGTCCGGGGCATAACTCTAAAACTATAAGAGATATCAACATGAAACTTTGTAGGTGAATAGATCTCAATGGGTAGATGTGCAGTGCATAAGAACAATAACTCTTTTTGTCCTAGTTTTGGAGTTATTGCCCTTTATTAATTTTAACACTTTGAACTTTGTCCGGAACATAACTCTAAAACTATAAGAGATATCAAGATGACATATTGTAGGTAGATAGATCTCATTGAGTAGAGGTGCAGTGCAAAAGAACCATAACTCTGTTAAGCCTCATTTTTTAATAATCTCCCCTATTAGAAAAATCTTGTCCAGGACATAGCTGTAAAACTATAAGAGATATCAACATGAAACTTTGTAGGTAGATATATCTCAATGGTTAGATGTGCAGTGCACAAGAATCATAACTCTGCCTTGCCTAATTCTGGAGTTAATGCCCTTTGTTTATTTTTACTTTTTGAAGTTGTCCGGGACATAACTCGGAAATCATAAGAGATATCATCAAGAAACTTTGTAGGTTGATAGATCACATTGATTAGAAGTGCAGTGCAAAGAACAGTTACTCTGCCTTGCCTAATTTTGGACTTTAAACTTTTTCCAGGGACATAACTCTAAAACTTCATGAGGTGACTTTCCTGTGTCCAAAACCTATTCGGGGAGCATCAACCGGCTCAAACCGGGCTCTTGTTACATAACTGTAATAACCTTTAAGCAGTTCATACATGTGGTAAAAATTCTGGATTATTGAAGTCATATTTAGGTATTGGATGCCTGATGCAGTATATCCTTTCTGAAGAGTATTTATTTTCAGTGAAGATACAGACTTTCGATAGGGCACGGGTTCAGAAGATGCAGTTTTGTCTTCATTTTTGTCTTTTCTTCTTCTCTTTGTTTTGCCAGATTATTATTTTCTTTTAACTTTGATCTAAATTGTATGTATATTTTTACTGTGAAATTTTATCGGTACTCATTTTATTCACAAGCTTATTATAGCAGTAGAGGGTGTAAAATAATCTTTACACGTAATATTAATTACAACAAGATATCACGTAGATTGACAAGGTACTGTTTTTTTATATTCAGTTGTTATACAAAATACATATAACAATTATCATACTAGTTAATATAAGAAGGACAGAGTTGACCCATGCCAGGTTTATACAGGGGCTAAGGGAATGTGAGTGTTTTTTATTTAAATATGTCTGTCAGTCAGTTTAAAATTCATTA